TTCAATTGGTTTTTCTTCTAATGTAGAAGATTCAATTAATTGTTCTTCTGATGTAGAGGATTCAACTGGTTTTATTTCTGGTGTTGGAACTTCAATTGGTTTTTCTTCGGGCGTAACGGACTCAACTGTTTTTTCTTCGTGACTTACTGATATTTGAGTTACTTCATTAACTTCTGAAATTTCAGTTGTCTGTTCTTTATGCACTTGTTCTTCGTCTTTAGGTTTCTGTTCTTCCGCTTGCTCAGCCTGTTCTGTTACATCAGCTGTTACTGAATCTGGTCTTTCTGTGGAAGAAATTGTATCGCCAAGAGAAACTTCTTCGACTGGATGCTGTTCCGTTGTTTCGCTTACAGGTAAGATAGGTTGTGCTTCGGTAATAGTTGCGGAGGTTGATACTTCTTTTTCGAGAGGCTTCTGAGTAATTTCCTCAGGTTGTTGTTGGTTCTCTTCAACATGAATTGTTGACATGCCAGGTGAAATAGTTTGCTCTTCTGTAATGGCGCTTTGACTTATTTCTTCAGTTGTTTTTTCTTCTTTCGGTGTAGTGATTTCAGATATTTCCTTTTGTATCGGAGAAGTTGGTAGAGTTGTTTGTTCTTGAACCGGTCCTTTAGTTGGTTCTTCTTCTGATTTGGTAGTCTGTTCTTCTATTGTCGTTACATGCTTTTCTATAGTAGCTGTAGTAAGATCTATCGAAGGCATACTCTGTTCTGTTATAGCAACTTCGGTAAGTTCAGAAGCTTCTTTTTCCGTTGTAAATTCTACTGGTTTTTCTTCTTTCTGTGTTGATTCGGATTTCTCGGTTATTTCTTCCATTTCTTTATGTTCTTCAAACGTTGATGTTTGAGTTTCTACTGAAATTATTGATTCTGTATTTTCTTCTATGGGGGGTACAGAAGTTTCACTTTCTACAGTAACACTAGGTTCGATAGGTTCTGCCTTTGTCGAAGTACTGCTTTCTGTTTCCTCTGATGTTTCTGATTTCGGTGTCTCTTCTGTATGTACTACTACTTGTTCTTCGGATTCTATAGGAGCATCAGTTTTATCTTTAGGTTGTTGTGTCGGTGTTTCCGTAGACTCAAGAGTAGATTTTGTAGTCTGCTCTATTGTTTTGTCTTTGTCTTCGTGTGAAATTTCACCTTCTTGAACTTCCGTAGAGTGACTGCTCTCACTAGTAGGTGTAGTAGTTATTCTTTCGTCACTTGACACAAATTTACTTTCAGTTATAGTTGCAGTTTCAGAAATATCGGTTTGCTCTTCTGTATTGAGTGATTGAAACTCGGTAGAAGTCTCTACAGTGGATTCTGATGTATTTATATTTGAAGTTTCACTTTCAGTCTCTACTGTTTTATGTTCAATTGGCTTAGTTTCTGTTTCTACAGATACTTGAGGAGTTATTTCACTTGTTGTTATTAATTTAGTAATATCTGTAGATTCTTGTTCAGCTGGACGTTCAAATGTTACTTCAGTTTGTTCTTCAGACTTTTCCCCTTCAGTTGATTCTATTTCTGGTTTTGTTTGTCCTTTAATTTCTGTACTTTGTGTTATTTCTTCTTCAGTAGCAGTAATGCCATGTTCAGTAGATATGCTTACTTCTTGAACATCTCCAGGTGTTTTAGATTCTTCAGATTGTCCTTTTATTACTTCATTAGATGGTTCAGAGACACTAGGTATGGAAGATTCGCTTATGGTTTCTTCCTGTTCAGTTGTTTCTTTTGGTAAAGTAGGTATAATTGTTTGTTGTTTCTCTTCAGGTATTTTTTCAGATTCTTCCACTGAAACAGCAGTTTCCGTTTTTACAGTAACAGGAGCTGATGTATGTGTCACAATTTCTGTATCATGTACATTTTCAACAGTGAAACTCGTTGACTCTTTTTCAGTAGTTTGTTCTTCGATTGATTCCTCGGTAGAGGGTAAAAGTTTAATGATCCCTTTTTCTTGTTCAGTAACTTCTTCAATTTTTTGTGTAGTAGTTGATAATGTAAATTCTGTAGATTGTTCACCTGGAGTTACGTTAGAAGTTTCTTTCGACGGAACTTCTTCTAATGTTTTATGTTCTTCAATAATAGTAGATTCTTCAGTAATAGATGTTATTGGTTTATTAGTTACCTGTTCTTCTACTGGTGGCATTTCTTTTCTTGTTTCACTTTCATTATCTAGTACAATATGTGGGTGAGATGGTACATGTTCTTGGCTTTCTTCTTCAATTGTATGATCGCTAGATCCTGATGGAATCTCTGTAACTTTGGGAATTAAAGTTGTATGCTTTGGCTCTTCTTCTTCATACTTCAGAGTTTGATGTTCAATTATATGATTGTCTGCTTCTAATTCAACTGTAGGAGTTGAGTCACATGTGTATATGGGGCAACATGCAGATCCACTTGCATGTACTGGCATACAGTTAGACAGATGAGTTGGAGGTGGTGGACACTGCATAAGTTCACATTGTATGATACTACTAATGCATTGACAACTTAATTGACAAGGATTCGCGGGAGGTATGGCCGAGTTATTACTATAAGATTGCCCATCAACAAGACAATTACCTTCACCAGGTATATCTGGATGTATAGGTTTGGATTCTTCTGATTCAGTTATTTCATTTGTTGGCATCACTTCTGTAACATTTGTAAATTCTTGTTCAGTTGAATGTTCAATCGGTCTTTCGGATGATACCTCAGTTACTGTCGATGAGGGAGATGTTAATTCTACTGCAGGCATTTCCTCTTCGTAAGGCTTAATTGTTGATTGTTTTTCATGTGGTTCGATAGGTTCTGTAGTTGCTTCCTCCTCGTCAATTTTTATTGTTGTTTCGTGAAGTTTTTCTTCCATCTCGGGTATTTCTGATATTTCTTTTATTACTGGTACTTCCGTCGATGTTTCAACAGAACTGGGCAATTCGTGTTTCTCCTCTTCACTTGGTTTTTCTTCAAAAATGCCTTTGGTGGGTTCTTCAATTTCTTGTTCTTTGGTTGTCGTAGACGATTCAACAGTAATCACAGCCTCGGTTGATTCTTTAGATGATTCTTCTGGTTGCGGCGTACTTTGATCGACATCACTAGATATTTTAGTAGTACTTGAGATTTCTTTTTGTTCTTCAGAAATTGGTTCAATGGACGTAGATTCATCTTGTTGTATTGAAGTTCCAGTAGATAATTCTTCTGTCACTGAAGTTTCGATTTCTGGATGTTGTTTTTCTTCAGTATGAGGCTTCACTGTCACTTCCAATTCACTTACAGAAGGTCCTGTTTCGCTGATAAGTTCAGTAGTTGATTCGCTTATTACAGGATGTTCGGAAGATTTTTCTGTCGTTTTATCCTCAGAAACATTTTGCTCAGCTGTTGAGATCACAGTAGACACTTCAGATCGTTCAGTAATTGAAATTTGTGTTGTTATTTTCTCAGTAATAATCTCTGTCACTTCTTTTTCAAGAGGAGTTACGATTTCTTTTTCTTCTTCGATAGTAGCTTCAGTAGATACTTTGCCTTCAAAGGATGGTTTTTGAATTTCCTGTTCTCCACCTTCGCTTATACTTTCATTTGATTGATTACTAAAATCTTCTACACCTTTGCCTGCTACAGTTGAAGTTTCTGTTGTTACATATTTGTCAGTAACGGAAGATTCAGTCTCCTTTTCTTCCTTCGATTCTTCTTCAGTGATAGATTTTTCGGTCATTTGTGTTTCGATTAATGTTCCCTCTGTAAGTTCTATTTCTTTTGTGGGTATACCTTCAGATTTGTTCTCTTCTTCAGATTTTTGAGTCGTAGTTTCTTCAGAAATCAATGTTGATTTATGTTCCGTTTCAACTAATGATGGGATTTCTGTTGATTTTTCTGTTATGGAAGGTTCTTCTTCGATTACAGGAGGTACCGATGTCTGTACTTCCATTTGTTCAACACTTTCTGTTGGTTTGTTATCTGGAATAACCGATTGCTCTGGTATTTCCTCCGGAATGGTACTTTCAGTAACTTCAGGTACTTCAGGAATGTGTTTTTCTGTCGAGGCTTCTTCCGTCTTCTTTGTTATATTTTCCTCACTCGCAATTTCTGAAGCAATAGTTCCTTCTTCACTTACAGCAGTTGGTTCGGTTGCCTTCACCGTTTGTGTTTCTTCTGGAGCTTCTGTTTCAGATACTTCAACTTCGCTTACAGTTTGCGTTACACTTGGCTCACTAACTTCTGGTGTTTCCGTAAGTTCGTTCTGTTCTGTTACATTCGATTCATCAACTTTTGATGTCTCTGTAGATTCTTTTTGTTCAATTTCTTTGATAGTAACTTGTGTTTCTTCTGTACTAGTCATTGTATGACTGCTAGTTGACTCTTGTTCAGAAATAGAACTTTCGGTCGAGATTTCTCCAGGAGATGGTTTATGTAATTTATCTTCACTTTTACCTTCTTCTTCGTTAAATTGTTCTTTTCCTGTTTCTTCACTGTCACTAGATATTTCAGAAGTTACTTCTTCCGACGAAGTTTCTTCAGATTCTTCTAAAGCAAGACCTTTGGTTGGTAATTCTTCAACGGTAGTTATTTTTTCAGTTGATGAAACTTCAGGACCTACTGTGCTCGTGCTATAATCTTCAGGTACGATTGATTTTTCAGTATGCTGAAGTTCTTCTTGTATAGTTTGTGCTTCTGTAGGAATCTGAGGTTCACTGGTTTTAGTGTCTAAAGCAATGGGAGTAATCTCAGAAGTAGATATTTCTTCTTGACCAGGTGTCACTTCGTGAAGAATAGGTTCTTCTGTTTTTATTTCAGTTGTTACTTTATTTTCTTCGTGCTCAGTAGACGTCTCACTTTGAGGAATCGAATCTGTTTCAGACTTAAAGACTTTCTCTGGAATTTCAGTTACAAGATTTTCAGGGATATGTATTTCTGGTTTTTTAGTATCAATGTTACTTTCAGAATAGATTTCCGGAATAGATTCTTTATCTTCTGCTTTGTATCCTGGAGTACTTTCAGAAATTTGTTTGTCTTTTTCTGTTTCATGGTCTTTTTCGATGGCAGCCTGTTGACTAATTTCTTCTTTAGATAGGCCAAAGTCATCTTTTTTAGGAGCAAGAGGTGGAAGCTTATCTTTCAACCCCAATTCAGGTTCTGGAATTTCAGGTTTTTTCTCTATACCAGCTTCTGAAGATGGATATTGTTGGTCAGTTTCTTGAGCCTGTGGTAAATTGGTAGTAATTTCGGCTGGTTTAATTTCTCCTGATTCGCTAACTTCAACAGATTTTTCGGATGTTACAGGTTCTACTTCGGGAGAAACAGGTATAGCTATTTCTTCAGTTGGAACTTCTTCTGATTTCGATGTAGTAACTTCTTCTGGTTTTGATGTAGTAGCTTCTTCAGATTTCGATGTAGTAGCTTCTTCTGGTTTTGATGTAGTAGCTTCTTCAGATTTCGATGTAGTAGCTTCTTCTGATTTCGATATAGTAGCTTCTTCTGATTTCGATGTAGTAGCTTCTTCTGATTTCGATGTAGTAGCTTCTTCTGATTTCGATGTAGTAGCTTCTTCTGATTTAGATGCAGTAACTTCTTCTGATTTCGATGTAGTAGCTTCTTCTGATTTCGATGTAGTAGCTTCTTCTGATTTTGATGTAGTAACTTCTTCTTGTTTTGATGTAGTGGCTTCTTTGATTATTTCTGTGACTTCTTGCGGAATTCCAGTTTCTTTCGTCTCAGGAGTTGCTTGTTCTTCGTTTTCAACTGGTTTAGTTTTTATACTTTCGTCTTGGTCAATTGTTTCCATGGTTTTCTCCGACACTTCTTCAGTGGGTACTATTGCTTCAGTTGGTTTTCCAGATTCTTCAATTGGTTCCTGAGCATTGATCGTTTCTTTCGGTGGTACAGATTCATATATACTCTCAGTATGTTCTTGTTCACTAATTGGAGATTCAGTTAGTTCTTCTGTTTTCACTGGACCTTCAGTCGTTATTGGTTGTTCTTCTACAGTGACAGTTTCTTTGGTACTTTCTGGTTGTTCAATTTTTTGCTCTATCGTTGAAGTTTCTGTTTCTATGTTTAATCCTTCTACAGACGATTGGGATGTTGGGATGTTCTCGGTTATCGAAATCTCAGTTGCTTCTTGTTCACCTTCGAATGATTTAACGGACGAACTTTCTGGTTGTTCTACAACAATAGGAACTTCAGTTTCTTTTCCAGAAACAGGTGGTTCAGTGTTTTCTACGGTGGTAAGCTTTTCGGTATTTTCTGCGACAAAAGGCATTTCTGATGTTTCCGTATAGGTAGGCACTGTAATCTTTTCTGTTGGAAGAGGTACCTCAGTTTGTTCGATCGAAGTATGTTTTTCAGTTTCTTCTATCAAGGTAGGCGTTTCTGTTTTTTGGTCCTGGATAATTTGTGTTTCCTCATCTACAGGAGCCGGTTTCGTTTCGTGTTCTTCGGGAAGAGTTACTTCCTCTGAACCATGGGTCGTTTCTGATTCAGGAATATCTTTTCTTTCCGTCGTCTCCGCAGATTTTTCAGCTTTAACAGGCTCTTCAGTGTGTTCTACTTTAATTTCATGGTCGTGTGGAATCGCGTTGTCGGCACCAATGAATGATTCGCTCGTTACTTCATGTTCTTGTTTCTCTGCCTCTTCGATATTCTCCGGAATAGTTACCATTGGTTGCACTTGACTAATTTCGGAGGTTTGTTCCATACCTTCTGGTATGGTTATTATTCCGTTTAGACCATCGTCTTCTGTAACAAAGTGATAGATAAAATGGTATTGTATAAAGGCAACTAAATATATCATATCATTAATATTGTTGTTTATATTAGAATTTTTGTAAGCCATTCATGAAAGTATTTGGTATAAAAGTATTGTTCTTACCACACTGATACGTGGTCGGACAACATTCTCCTTCGGGCGGAGGAAGAGCAGTGCAGTTCTTTCCATGCGTTTTCATTGGTGTTCCACAGTTTTGAACAGCGCAAGCAATATCGCCACGGAAGCAGTAGCAGTGTTGGCAAGGTTGTGTCGAGTAAATCAACTCGCCGTCCTCGTAAATTTTACCTTCGTAATAACACTGTGGTACTGCACCAGGGGCAATTGTAGTAGTCATGATGAGACCAGGTCCAACCGTAGTTTCAAGTCCTTCATCGTATTCTGTTAATGTTAATTGTGGTAAATTATCGTCTATTATTCATGATCTATATTATTATATCCGTAAAAAAAAAAAGTGAATCGAGTTATATTCATCGACAACTAACAAATATAATATATTCTTTATTTAATATCAAATTATGTTCATATATATACATGTGACCGCGTAAAAGGAACAAGAACATAAATAAAAAGATAAATAAAAAGTGAGGTTTAAACGACGTGTACACTGACTTGTACATCACGTTTGTCCGGAATGTCACATTAGATAGAATACGTGTTAACAAATAATGAGAGTCATTAAACGCGATACAAGAAAGGCTACTCACACGAGCGTACGATATGCAAATGGAACTTACCGCAGTCGTACTTGACCGGACAACATACACCCGATTTGTAGACAGGTCTACATCCTGCCACGCGTAGCGTGCACTGCTGTATAACGCAAGCGGTTCTGTTCCTAATACAGTAGCAAAGCTCACAAGGATTCGATTGGTAATCGATTGGTAATTGGGCACCATCGGGATAAAACCGATCATCCATTTTGCACCCATAATTATCATGGAAGCCAACTTCCGTCGAATCAGATAATGCTGGAGTATTGGTAGTCGATGTAAGCAATTGCACCGGTACTTCCGGACAAGTGATTACGGGGCAACATTGATCAGGTCTTTTTTCTACCGTACAGTCTTGTCCAATGGCTTTTGAGAAGGGACAAACTCTCAAGTAGCACATCAACATTCGATTATGACACGTACAGTTCAGGCATGGCTCGTTCGTTATGATTCTGTCACCTTCCTGGTAATGTTGAAAGTTGTAATAACAGCCCGTTGTTGCACCTGCGAATTTCATTGACTCTTATACAGTTATCATACTTTGATTATGTGCTATCATCCAGCTTTTGGAGGTAGTAATAAGTAAACATTGATTAGTATTTGATTTGTTAGGTTCATGAGTCGCATCAAATGTTGTTGTTATTTTTTCGAGCTAACATTAATCCAAGAATTTAATTAATTTGATTAGAATCATAGAATGAAGCGATGCATGTAGCCGACATGCTCAATGCGCTACAATTAAAATGTCTATGTCTATGACTTAGCGCGAGTCAGCTGATTAAAAACAACGAATGCATGTATAGGTATATCTATTTACGTACCTCCATCGTACTCTGTAACTTGTGTGGTATCCTGCTCGTATACTGGCGCTGTAACAAAATCAGTGCAGATGTTATTGACACGGTCGTTTGTATTAGTATTATACTTACATTATCCAATTTGATTTGATTAACATTAATATCTCGGTTTGCAGTAAAGAAGTGTTGATTGTGTGTAAAATATAAAGTAAAGACGAATAGCTTAAAAGAATGGAAGAAATGTTGTGTAAAGATAGTTGTTGATTATAGTACGAAATAAGTATGTTTTCTTTAGACAATGCAATACGATAGGCGAGGGATTAGGCTGTGAGTTAAAATCTCATCTGTTTCCGCGTGGAGAGATTTTCATAGGTAAAAATGTAACTACAGCGAAGAACAAATAATCTCGGGAACTTGAGCTTTCGTATATGATGAATCCTGTAGGGAGACGAATGCAGCTCCGGTGCTTCCAGTTTATCATAATAATTACCAGGCGGCGGGAGGCGTTTGTCTGGAGGGTGAACAAGGCTTTAACAACGGAGTGAGTCAAAGCGTCATATGGCACGAGCGTACGTGGGCGAATTCTCGTTAACACCCTCGCCCCGGTCGTACGAATTGTATGCCGAGTGTACGCGGAATACAAAATTCTCTTTCTTCTCTTTCCTCTTTATCCTTTTATCCTTTTCGTACTCTCTATCTACGTTCTATACGTTTTTCACGCGCGTTGCTTTTACAATTTCCTTGGTATTAAAGTTCCGCGAGCGGAACTCGTCTTCGATTGTCCCTGGAACTCGACAAAACATTCTCCTTGACGTCAATTGGTGAGCTAGTTTTCTGATTCTTTCGAGAGTAGTTAGCTATCCACGGATCCATTTTTTTAGTTTACGGCATTTATGAAATTGGTTTTTTTTTTGTATAAGAGATTTTATAAGAGAATTAAATAAGAACTACACTAATTTTTCATCAAATTTTACACAGTCAACGACCGACACGTGATGCCACTATTTTTATATTAGGCATCACTGCCACAACATCAACGCGAAATTGAAGTAAAAAGGACCTTTTTACACAATGTCACAGATATTCTTCATTCTAAAAAAGTAGACGTTACTCTTTTAAAATGCATGAAGCGTTTCTGCGGAGGCTACGTGCATCGCGAGTCGAAGGATTAGTATCCCTTGTATCGCTCTTTCATTGAACAATACGTTCCTGGTAAAAGAATGTGACAACGGTTTTAAGCTATTTCTGATTGAAACATTTCGATTCTTTTGTAGTTTATTTATCGATCCTCTGATTTTTCATACAAAGATTTCATCGTACCGTGGGATTTTGTTTTAACGTACGCGAAGACAATTGATCAAATTTTTATTGAAAAAATTAAGAGAAAATCTTGCTAAAAATAAATTATATAAAATATTAAGTTTCGGAAATAATAACATTAGCATTCTATTCTGATCGCCGTTTTGCTTGTCGCGGAATCCGAAGCTGGCGGTTTCCAGCGAATTGAATTGTACTGGGAATTACTAACGGGTCTGTGAATGGGACTCCCATTGCGAGTCCCACGAACTGGGTATCCGCGTGCCTCCACGCATACGCGACAGACGCATGGGGCCCAGCACGTACGAGTCTCTTGTATGTTGTTCGTATATATCTACCTAGTTGTATGTTGCTCCACCTAAATTATTATTATATGAAGAAACATCGCTAAAGATGCGAGTATAACATCGCGCAATATTTTTATTTGATGTGATACAATATCGTATTATTCTGGTTCTGTTATCACGCGATAAAATCATTTGATATCTATTTGTAAATGTTAATTGATGATTTTTTTTACAAGAATAATGATAAGTCAAAAGTTACTTCATTAATCCATTAAATTTTTTTTGATATTCCTCATATATTTAATTGACGATGATAAATTTTCATTCTCTTTTTCTTATTTTTGTCTTTCTTTTCTTTCAAACAAATTACGGACTACGAGGGACGATAAAAAGACAAGTTGTTTCGTATGAAACTTCTCTACCTTTTAGTAGCGAATATATTAACGAGAATATGATGTATGTTGCGTTATTTTATGAGCATCTTTGTTTTGAAAACACACGAAAAATTGCAATTTCGTTCCGTCATTTAATGCAATCGGGTGAGAGACGAACAAGGATAGGTAGCAAATTATATTTTCTATTTGGTAAAAATAATGGAATTAAATTTTTATGAAAAAATAAGAGAAAATGAGAAGAAAAAGTGCTCTTATATCTTTTCTAAAATTTCAACCATTAATTGTAAGATATCAACGGATTATATAACGGGACGCGCGCGTTCGACATCGAAGCGTGATTCAGCGAAATCTTAATAAAATTAGCAATTTTTGTTTTAATATAACGAATCGACAGGATTTAAGAGTAAATGTTGAAAAAAATAAACTAATTGTTTCTCTGAAACAAAAAAAGAAAAAAGCATGGAAATACCTATTTATCTCAGAATTTATCGGAAGGAAATATTACGTAAATTATGCAAATCAATGTAAGTTATTTTCCTCTTGGATTTAACAAATTTTTTCCTTCTCCATTTCCATTATCGTTTTTTTTCTGTCACACATCTCCTATAACTTCTTATCATTTTCTTTTTATTCCATTTCGCTTCCTTTTACATTAAGGGACATGTATGGGTGCACAATGCTGATATTATATATCACGGGTGTGAGTGCATGATACAGATTGAAAGAAAAAGAGAATAAAAGAAAGAAAGAAAGAGAGAGAGGGGGAGAGAGATGGAAGAACCCATTACGCACATTATGAGATCATTCCCGGCGGCCTTACCTCACGAAAGTTCATTACCATCAAGCATACATGGTCGGATGAATACCTGGCTATAATTCTCGGCGTATCGCGTGCATGAATTTCTGCACCAGATGTCGCTTTCAAGGTCGCGGTTTCCCTTGTCATACTTCGAAACGAGGACGCTATGTAATATGGAAGAGAAAAGTTATGAGATCGGTACCTAATTTTAATAACGAATCGATCGAGACGTGATTAACAAAATTGGAAAGATTATCTTTGATTATTTTCAAAGAATCATCAAGCGAGGTCGTTGTTATCTTTTTACAAAATCTGTCTCTTATTGTTTTTATTATAGATCATGTAATTCACGGATCAAATAACATTGCAATCGAGTAAGTCATCGGATTTTGATGTACACACTTTGATAACAATAAGCTTCAGCTTCATTGGTACACCTAAATATATATATATGGAACGGCTCGGGAATCAGGTGCGTCAGAACATGAACTGTATGTGGGCAACGTGGTGTGGTACGAGCGGTCAGTGACATTTCTCCCAGAGCCTTAAGAGGTGGCTCTTCGAAGGCTACAGGTTTGACCAGAATTCTTGTTGCATCGTACGGATGTAGACGCGCGAGGGTAGAAACCGCTATATAGCGTAGTCGTCTCCCTATTGCCTTCTTTTTTTTCGATTGTTATTGAATATTAAAATATCATTATATTGAAAGTATTTCGAAATGGATTTTTCTTTTTTTACAACGCGAAGTCAGGGATTATATAGTTTTTCGTTTCGTTTCGCTTGAGAAAATCCAACTTATTTGTATCAATGTAAATTATATATAGAAGTATAAGTATATAGGGGAAAAGTTATCGTGCGTATTCGAGTAGAAAGCGTAATGAATAACCGACAGACATGATCACCTAGTGATCTCGCTTTGAATGACGAAAAGAATCGGTTTCGCTGAAACAGAATCCTCCCCATTTGCTTTCATTCACCTGCTTCTTCATCTTAGCGCAACCGATTGACGAGAAAAAACGAGAAACAAAAACGACGCATATTCAATCATTACCAATGCAACATTTTTACAAATCATAGTGACACTTTTCGTACTACTTTGTGTTCTTTCTAAAATGATCGCGAAATAAAATAAGCAACTTTTTATTTACTTTTTATTTAAGATTACGTAGAGAAGTATTTTTAATCAACAGTATTAGGTATTTGTGAAATGACAAGAGTCGTGATATTGAGAATTTCAATCGAAAGAAATTTATATTGATAGATCGATAAACCGTATGACGTAAACGAATGAAGAAATTCATAGTATTGCAACATCGGAAGAAATAAAATGTAATCTGATAAAAAGAGGAATAATTATAAATTAGAAACTAACCGAGAACTAGTAGAGAGTAGTTTGGGTCCACGGGAAAGCACCTTGACCAGCGACTTGGTCAAAGCCAGGGTTAAATACTATGAGGTAAGATATCTATGGTCGAAGAGAAAGGAGCGCTAAGAGGTTCGACGGCCTGTTAGCTCGTTCCTTCGGACCTTGGCCTTGTATACTTACGTGTCTGCGTACGTATGAGCACGTAAACCAACGTTAACTCGTGTGGAAAGTGTAGAAATAGTTAGAATTAATTGGTGTTTATTTAAACATTGGAAACGCTCAAAGTTACACGAGAAATTCATAGATAATTCTTGAATTGTAATTATTATTCGAGGAGAAAGAGAGAAGACGAAGTAAGATGTATTACTCGTTTGTTTCGAATGAATTCGAAGTTCCGAAGCAAAATGATGATGGATAGAAAGATAGCGAGAAAGAGAGATAGAAAAGGAGAGAGAGAGAAAGAAAGAGAACTTGAAAGAAAAGCAATGTTTGTTTCTTCAAAGCAAAATTACATTTTTATATTAAGCAAAAACTTACCAGAATGGGTGGTTTGCGAGACCAGGAAGATCACCAGGCAAATAATTATTCCAGGTCTATAGGAGCTGGTACTCAACGCCGACATGTCGGGACTTATCTTCCGTCCTCTGTAAAATACGAGGAAAAACGTTCGTTAGATTTAATAAGAGTTATTTATATTATTTGAATAAAAAAATAAATTGTATTTAATCGCGTTGTAATTTAGATAATAGAATGCGACGATTAGAAAAGTCGATAAGTCAGTTTAAATACGGACAATTGAAAGGATATAAAGCAATCTTGAAAATATTCATTCGTAAGACAGATAAGTGACTCGTTCAGTCACGTTTCGTTCTATTGGAACTGCCAAGCTAGTTTTCTTTGACAGGTGGACGTGTAATAGCAGATTCTTGGGAACAAGCCAATCGCATACCTTCGCACTTTGACTGAACAGTTCTCGCGAGCGAGTTATGAGTTGTATGCGAATGAATCTCGGAAATGCTTCGAGGTACATAGCACACGTATCGATGAAAGTGTGAAAATCCGTAACGAGTGTCACTGACGTTTGTAGAATCCATAAACAATACGATGCAATTAAATGCGTTTGCATTCGTTCGTGTAGATATGCGTACACACTTCTTGACTACGGTATCGTGACTTCGGAAGGTTTAACAGCGTGGGAATAACTGGTTTTTTGTTTGAACGCTTTTGACAGGTTTAGAAGCCTCTTTCCTATTGGCGTAGGTATTTGTTAAGAACGAATGTGTTTCGATGATGGTAGTAGAATTTCTATACCTTCGATTGAGGTTGTTCGAGGAAAAAGAAACTCTACCAAATACCTGCGCGAATACGTGGATACATATATACTTACATATACAGGGATGTTGAGTCATTGCGAAATCGTTGAGTTCACGGAACGATTAGACGAGGGTAATCACGAAGAAGAAGAGAACGGTCAAGAAGAAATCGAAAAGGCGAGGGAACTTTGGAGAACTCGACGCATTCCAGCCACGACAGCGTGCTCAATACAAAGTAGTATCGAGATAAAAGAGCGTGGGTTGTTATTCGTCTGCATGACGACTTCTTTTCTCTGTTCGTGACCTCTTCCTTTTTCTCAGCCGACACTTCATTGTAACATAGAGAAGCAACGCGAGACGCCTAAGTACTCTAAACGTTTTCTATGTACTTGTGCACGCTCGGTAACGATGCTGTATATACACTTTTCTCTTGCTCGTATACCGTCGTAAAATTACTTTTATCTTTTTTTTTTCCTTCAAAAATCAATAAATATTCACAAATATATCGATAGAAAATATTCATGTAGATAATAAAAATTAGATATAGAAGATGTGTTAATTAATATGATTCTTCTAAATAATTTGAAATCGTCGTTATTTCTACAACACATGCTTTGACTTATTTTTTATACAGTTCGAACAGCTCTGTGTGAACTCCGTAGACTGCGCTGGAAGTTAATCGCGACCTTACGTCATTGCGTATTCACGGTACGGCCCATTGAACAGGGGAATTCGGTGAATGGGTATTCCAGCGTACATCGAGGACGCGAGTTCGCATGATTGCTTTGTGCTCGAATAATTCGAGAAAGAATGGTGTTTAATTTTGTGTTTAATTTCTAAGCTAACCCATTGTCGATATAACTCGATTTACTTAACCAATTAATTCATTTTACAATAATAAAATTTCATTTCACGTAATTAAAAATGTTCGTTTGATATTGGTTTAGCGGAAGTGTAGGGAAGGAGAAAGAAAAAAAAGAGAGATAGGTACGGAAATTGTAAGAGAAATCAAACACGATGCGTCGTCTTTCGAGTTCTACTCTCGTAGCATGCTACACGTATTGTCGTATCAATGGTAATCAGGAAACAACGCAGGAGAGTCGCATGAATGGAATAGATGCAAGCACATCTCCCGCCCACGCTCCGTTTTTCCTTCCCCCTTTTCCCACTCTTTTTCCTTGTCAGGATTTTGTTCTCTTTCTATTATTTCTTTTTATTTTTTCTTCGGTCCATCCTGATTCGTTGCAGTTACTTTCAATCTTGCTCGTAGGACCAGGTCGTAGCTTGTAATCGCTGAACCAAGACTAATTTCACTTGCGCTCTCGATATTCAAGGCACCGTGTCCGTGTAACAGCTGGGAACACGGAATTGTTTTACAAGGCAGAAAAGTAATTCTTTTCATTCTACGATTTAGCGAATAATAGACTTTATTTTTCTATTGACTTTAGTATTTACTAAGTTCATTCGACGGATACATGTCTGTTTTTATCGAACAAGCAATGTTCAACGTAATTTTAGAAACCGTTAGACATCTATTTTATTTTCTCTCTTTACTATCACCGTACCGATAATTTACTGATCGATAACAGCTGGTACGTGCTTGGTTCAAAGGTTAAACACAATAATTTCGTTTCTCTTCCTTTCCTTCCTTCGTGACAGCTGGTCCAGTGATAATTACAGTGACATAAAAATTTCTTTCCGTGAGTCCGATGTTAAAAGACGAGTCGCCTATGGATGCACCCACGGCTTCGACAGAACCAGGCTGCTGCTTGCTCTCAAGTATTCCGTTAGAGCCCGGAGGCTGCATTCGTTCGCTATTATCGTGGAATGCGGAATATGATTACCCTTCACCTGGGAACTTAAGAGATTCGACATCGCATCTTTTGGTTAAAGAAGACCGTAGGGGTGCTTTTGTCACGATACTGCGGATCGAACATGAAATTCATAGTACTTATAAATATTTAGATAGTATAGATTAATTGTAATTGAATCTGGTAATCAGATAGAAAATAGATTAATTATTATATTTAACTAGTAAACACGTGAAACATCATATCATTTATACGTAATTATATCTCGTGTAAGTATCTCAAAGTAATCTGGATAATCAATTGACAGTTAAACTCAGTAGCTACATATACAGAAGTCGGAGCACATTATGAACAGGAAATTATCATATGGATGCATGTTAAATAGATACGTTTGAGAATAGTTAACATCCGTTGTGCCACACATATGCGCGGATCATCATGAACAGCTCCCTGTGCATCCGTTTTATCGGTGAAACATACAGTTATTAAGAGGTATACTATAGCTAGAAAGTTTCTGACCACCCATGGCAATCATGTGGAACTCTCTATTTCTTATCCCTCTGTCTCTACCTTTTTTCTTTCTTTTTTTTTTTATCTCATAAGAATCGTCGGAAGGAGTATCCTAAACGTAGGAGAAAAGATTGATGGTCGTTGAAGAGTATCCAAACGTCAGAGCTCGAGATGGAACCTCGAAAGGGATCTCCAATGGCATCGTGACGCAATAGAAAACGGTTATTTCCGACAAGATACGACTGCGAAGAGGTTTCCAAGCATAGTCGTCGAGAATGACTAACGGGCTTGTTCGTCTTTCGTAACAGGTGAATTCAATAGCCGTGCTCTCTGGTACTCGCTGCTTCATCTTCTTCTCTCTTGCGGGCTACGTGCGTTTCGACGACTAAAACTCGATAATTGACAGCTATCCGTGCGGGGAGATCTCGAGTGCTTCATTTTTTTCAGGATAACAGTATTCTTTTTCAAGTGCTTCGCTAGCACTTTCGATGCGATCCTTAAAACTTTCTTCATTTTTTCTTTATTTCATTCACTTTCTCTCCCTCTTTCTTGTTCTCCTTCTTTTTGTATTTTTTTTCTGTTAATTTTTTTTTAGGTTTATTTATTGATTCGTGCTTTATGCATCACATAACTTTTAATTATTCTTAGTTTAAATTTCATTTATTTATGTAATTATTCGAGCCGCATTATTAGATATACTTTTAAGTTAGTTAATATTATTTATTCCTCTTTTTATTTTATTTGTTCCTTATTTTAAATGCCAATCGAACAAAGAAGTATCTAATATAAAAATATAATAACATGAAATATTCAACCTTCCAATGGATTACCATGGTATCAAGAAGCATCAGTAAAGTGGAGAAACTGTAAAAGTAATGTAGTTTAGATATCGTCGAGAAAAGACTCTTCGAATATCATAAAATGAGCTATTACTTATATCTGATTGTTCGATGATTCTTAACGAGAAAAGGTAAATCGAGTTGAAATGCTGACTAAAAGAGGTCGGACTGGATTTAGCGTGAGTTTGTAGATTCAGAATGTAACAGGGTCAGAGATCACAAGATCAATGCGGAGGTGGAGTCGTGGAGGCGGTTAAATGAAGTTATGCAAATTACGAAGAATAAACGGATAAAGTTCCGTGAGGCTGCTATGATTAACCGAAGAGATCAACCACCGATGTTTCTCCCAAGCGTCTGAACCTGGGAACTCTTCCACGGTTAATTATGACAATTAGCAAGTGCTGCTGTTTCTATCTCCGCTTCCTTACTCTCTCTCTCTCTCTACTTCTCTTAGACCTACACAGGTGCGCACGCGTACAGAAATACACATATATTCTTCTCTCCTTAATGCATAAAGTGTTTGGCCCTCAGTAGAGGGAAGTTCTTGTTCTGTCACCTTCAAAGACTCTGACTTCCGCGTGTCACGTTGCGAACATACTTCTAGACTGGTCCTGGCTAGTAAGCGCGAGATAGGTTGACAGGAAGACAGGCTCGTTACACGATCGTCAAGCAGTGATCTCGATTCGAAAAGAGCCTCTTGTTTCTTGTAATTACGCCTGTGAAATGTTTACTTATGCTAGTACGCTTGTTTTTTTACGGGAACGTATGTAGAAATAAATTTCTATTAGTCAATTCGCGTTGCTATCGAGTAGTTCAATTAAGAATTGATCGTACATCGCTATCAAAAACAAATCTAGCGAATTTACGAAATATACTCGATGAATCTGTAAGGAACGTTGAAAAGGAGAAAAAACGATATAACGTAATAAACACTCATTATCTCTTTTTTTCTTTCGATAAAGTGGAAATCATTGAAGTAAAGTCCGTTGAGACGAAAACTGCGTTCGGAGCTTTTTTTCGGTCGATTATAAGGAGGGTTAAGAGACTATCGAGTATTCATTATGTCTAATGACCTCTCCGAGCGGCAAGTGCTTTTAGGCACGAACGATGGAACGTGAGGTGGCATCGGAGGCAGTGCCGACGGTGCGGCAAAGGTACTCGAAACAATGGG